TTTTTGGTTGTGTTTGTTATTGTGTGTTCGTGGTTGTGTGTTTGAGATTGTGTGTTTGTGATTGTGTGTGTTTGTTATTGTTGTGCTTGTAATTGTGATTTGCGCTTGGGGTCCGTTGGTGCCCACTGCGATCTGCCACTTGCTGAGGTACGGTAGTGCCCACCGCGATTTGGCACTTGGTGTTGAGGTCCGCTACCCGCTGCGATCTGGCGCTTGCAGTTGAGGTCCGGCAGTGCCCACAGCCCAAACTCGGCCTCTAGAAGCCGCTCAAAGTACCCTATGAGGCCACGGCTGAAATGTTGCTTTGACTCCTTTTGGTTATGCGACAAATTTTGAGCGACAGATGCAGTCCAGAGGCCCAAAAGTGTGAGTTCGTGCTGGTGCCATTTCTTTCTGCTGGAGGATTGGAGATGCAGTTGGTGATGCAGAAGATGCGGGTCGGTGGCACCACCAACAGTTTGTCCTGGGCGCTGGACCACCAAGAAAGCATCAAAAGCTGGCGGTTGAGGTGCTTGCTGCGATCTGGCACTTGCTGCTGAGGTCCGGTAGTGCCCACTGCGACTTGGCACTTGCTCTAACTTGCTGGCGAGGATGAGGCGGAGGAGACGAAAAAAGGACAAGAGCACGGATAAAACCTAACAGTTTAACAGCCCTCACCTGGCAGGTGGGGAAAAAGAGGAGAGGGAACGTCCAATCTAACCATTTCAGAATTTTATGTTGTCCCTTCATGCTGCATCTCTGCGCCAGGTTTGGCGCGAGGTTCAAGTACAGGTAAGATTAACAAACTACTCATATCCCCCTCACCTTGATTTTGAATTCGGGGGGTAACCTTTTGAAATTTCATTTCCGGTTTAATTTGTTCCTTGGTTTTTTCATTTGATTTGGGATGGCACATCTGCCTTTGGCTTAGTTCATGACTGAACTCGATCCCCGGGTTCATGGACTGTCGGTCTTTCTATTTTCCACGGATGGAAGAAGCGACGCAGCTCTCGATCGGGGACATCGGCATGCAAGACAGTTTCCTTTCAAAGGGGGTAAACCATCCAAAAGAAATTGACCCCCCCCTCCCCCCCTAAGCAGTGGTGGATCTACACATACATACACTGGCAATTAAACTTGTTGCGGTATGTGGGGCAAAACTTTATTTAGCTGAGCTTATTTTTGTTTGTGTTTAGACATCATTTTGGCTGTCTTTGGTTTATGTTAGCGGGGAACATGGACACCCACGCATTCCGGGCATGTTCCCATTGCGCTTCGATAATCGAATTTTGACCAATTGCCCAACTGTTTTCCAGGGCGGCTACTCCTCAATACACTAGAGACATACACACATGCGGATTGCCTGCACGACGTCGCGCCGGGGTGATGAGAGTGAGCTAAAAGACGAGAAGGGCAGCTGGGGTGGGGGGCTTTGCACGCACGGAAAAGAGAAACATGATAAGAAAATCACCTATCATATTTTGACAACTTGTTTCTGGGGATAAGAGGACTGCTACTTTCAGCTTCACATTTGGAACCGTTTACTTGCAAATAAGAATGCCGCATAATGCAGCTAAGAAGGGGGCGCACACAACATACAACCATACACATGAGCAGATGTTGTGTACATGACAGCCACCGCTTGGAATTGCCGTGGCTTGAAGCTAGGCTAGGATAGTGATTTTAAAGCCGCTCATTTTTCATCCAAAGAAAGCACAGCAAACCCAGGGAAGGAAAAAAACAACTGTTTACGACACTCACTAGCCTTCTTAGGCTGATAAAATGGCGTGGATGTAAACTAGTCAAAGTGGGTCGACTTCGTGTTGAACGAACCCAGCAAAAGACGAACGCATAGAACGTCCTTGTCATAGGTGCCAGATCATGTCGTACAAGATTACGTGATCCGTTTAACTGTCCCATTTCGACCAGCGGCACGGGCAGGGTATTGTTTTTGTGTGCAAGGACTTGTTTTGCAATGTAACCTTGCAGCTGTTCCTCCTCATTTTTTTTTGACAATTTTCATGTCATAGTATGATGTGACCCCCTCGTTGCACTCGTGTTTTTTTGGTTTAGAAAAATCCCCAGTTACCGCCGTTTTCGTTTGTGTTTATTTTTTCGGCGGTCATCATATTGGCCAGGTTCCTTTAGATTCCTTCAGGTTCCTTCAGGGCGAAGCGGGGTCATGTAGACTCTGACTATATAACATGGAAGTGGACTGCATGGTCCCTTGCAAGACTGCTTTCCTTTTTTCCACTTCCATGTTAACAGTGAGTCGGAGGGATCCATCTCGCTTCGGGTATATGGTATAGGTCAAACCCATAATTCAAGATTGACCATTGATTGATGACCATCCACACTGACAATACCTTTAAAAATCAAAACAATCTCTATATTGTTCTCCTTTAAGATGACATCTTTCTTGGCGAGTCCAGGCGTGAATGGACATGGAAATGCCATCTTCTTGCCAGATGTCATACATACTTTCAAACATTTGTTTTTACTCGGCTTCACGTCCTCATCCGCAGGCGGCGGCCGCAGCCCTAGCCGCCTCCGTGGCCTTCTTCCGGCGGGTGACAAAGGCGAAGGCACCGGAGGCGGCGCCGCCTGTGCGGCGGCGCGGCTTCTTGGAGGGAACACTGGACTCTTGAAGACCAGGTTTGAAATTTAGTTGAAAGATTTCTAGGGAACCGTTGGAAGGCCCTTTTTGATCCTTCTTTTCCAAGTAAACATATATGTCGTGATGGTGTGAGACTGGTCTCCTGCGTTCTTGCAGCAATGTGTCCGTTGGCATTTGCCGCACTGAGCCGTGCCGTATTTATAAACCATCGGAGCTACCGTCATCCATCATCCATGGCAAACGGGGGTTGTCCTTTTCATTGAGGGACGCAACCTCACCTATATTTGGAGAGATTTGGAGAGCTAATTATGTGAGTTGGGTTCAGTGACCACTGCGGATTGTTTGGCCTGGGAGCACCGACGTTTTCCCTGAGAGTCGTTTCAAGGAGATTCACCATGGACCAGTCGTGGGTTCCTTCTACCTGTCCGCTTCACCCGTCGAGGGAGTCTGAAAGGGTTCACTCTCCCTCAAGGCCTGGAATAGTGGGTCAGTGGAAAAACTCTTCCCGGTTCTCATGGGTTCTATGTCTTTCCAATTTTCCGGATGTGGCCACACGCAGCCAAGCTGGTTCACGCAGCCAAACTGGTGCATCGGCTGCCCTAGCCGTCCTAGCCCGACTGAAGTGACCCATTTGTCATGGAAACACCTGGAGATGAAATGCCCGTCACCAAATGCCACGCTGGAGACGTCACAGAGTGGGAGAGCCCCACGGCGCGGCCGCGGAGTTGGTTCTCAGGACCAAGTCGTTGACGGCGCTGGAAGATCAAGAGGTCCCTATATAGACCGAACTTGCGGGGATTGTCATGGATGGTCGCATCTACTCTTCAATCCCCAGAGGTTAAGTGACCTTATACCTATAGGATAGTGTATAGGGTTCTTCAACCTCTTCAATCCCCTGGTAATTACCACAAGTTCGATCCCTTCGGAACGCCTAAGGCTTGACCATGCTGCTGCGGGACGGCATTCCGCTGCTCGATGGGAAGGGCACGCACCGAACGGCGGGCGAAGGTTCACGAGGAGGACACGAGTACACCCTTCAAGTGGCCCAATGAATGGAAACATGCTTGGAATTTATGTTCCGCAACCTCCTCAAACATCCAAATTCAATCTTTGTTGAGGTGATGTTTGATTGGAATGGGGTCACTTTTTTTGCCTTGCTGGCCATGTTTTTCTTAATCGCTCCTGATTGCTAGTCCACCCATGTAGTACTGTGCATGTACTTTAGCCATGGCCATGAGGGTCAATGTCAATATATAGGTGAATCACAATATATAGTATATAGTCATAGCTGGAAAAATCGTGGTGGTTGAATCGTGGTGGTTGGGTACTGAAGAGCGATTTGTTTATCCAACTTTTGTTGGTTAAGATGGAGGATGATGGAGGTTTGTAAGTAGAAACCTTGAAGTTTCTCTAATAGAGAATTAAAAGAAAAGTTCGATTCTATAATATATAGAAGTGTTGTAGTGATGGTGAGGCGGATCTTGGTACCTCAAACATGCTGATTCTATAGAGAATTGTCAGCATAAATACGTTTGCTTGTCAGGGACAGCAATTCTGTAGAGATTGATGTTTTTTGGGGTGCCCCAGGAATCCCACCATATCTCCTTCCACTATCCGCTATCCCTGGGGAAATACGGGGGGAACACCCCACGCTCCCGGTCCGGCGGAGAAAACTGCCATCGGGAGCTGGCTCGAGGATGACGCGGAGGGGGGAGGAGAAGGACGGCAGCTGACATAAAATCTAACAACCCTCACCTCACAGGTGGGGAACAAGTTCCTTTTAACCTTGGACGCCCACGTCGCCAGGCTACTACTGGGTCGTCGTCTTCAGCGAGTTCTGTGGGCCTGTGCTGCTCTGGCTACACTGCGCAGCAACAGTGGAAGACCTCAAGGCGCATGAGATTGCACAACATGAGTTCGGCAGCCACATGTCTGACAGAGCAATATAGCAGAGCTGATGTGCGGTGCTGTGGTGCCACAAGACCTGGCTGCAGTGGCAGTGGGCTGGCCAATTTGTTTCCCAAGCCTTGGCCAACTCCGTGTTAGCGAGGACCACAGTATGGAGTTGGAAACCTTCAATGATGACGTTTGGCCTATTCAGCTTAAAGGGAAAATTTGCTGCAGCTTCATCTCAGGCGGCGGTGCTCCTGCCACTCCTCCTGGCCCAAGGCATCAGCAAAGTAAAGCTTCTGCATAACAGAAGCTTGGGCCCAGGGCATCGCTGCAGCCGCATGTAAACCACAGGCGCGCAACAGAAGGCAGTAAGAAAAAGGTCGAAGCATGTTCTGCTTGCCTTTGCGCAAAAGCCCGACCTAAAATCTTCATGCGTTTCGCCAGAGAATGGGGCATGTGCATGCAAGACTTGAAGACAGCCTTTTCCCTTATGATGGTTTTTACACTGAGCAAGGCCAAGAATGATTGTTTCGACCGCAGCAGTCTTGCAAAGCTCACGTCAGGCAGCTTCACCGCACTGTGTGACTGACTGTTGCCGCTTTTCGCTGCAGTTTCAAAGTTTTTGACAAACAGAGGCACAGCTGCTGTGACTGTGAAGTTTGTGAATCTTCTACCAATTCTTTGCAAAAGAGATGTGATCGCAGGTGTGTGTGTGTGTGCTGGATTTTTCTGCCTTCATTTGTTTCTTTTTTCACAGACACAGACACACACTCACCGACCTGCATCAAGCTGCAACGTACGAAATCCAAGGAAAAACGAAAAGCTCGAAAACCAGAAGCGATATGTGTTTCTGCTGCCTCTCCTTCATAGATACTCTGAGAGGCGCTGCTCGAAATTCCAAAGAGCAGGTCAACGAAGGCATGTCCTTTTGATTGCTAATCTTTTGGCTTGCAAACATATCATTGGACACTTGGACAATTACACTTTTAGTTTGATACGTTTGAGCAGGAGAACACCGAAGTTGTCGTGATTGAGGAGGCGACCGCTCCACCTCAGGTGGGCCCTAAGTTATTTAAGCACCAGCAACTGTTCAACCGATGTTGTTTCAAGGCGATTCTACAGCCTTCGAAGACCAGGAAGGATCTTTCTTGACTTCACCTTTGAGAGCCAGAAAGGTGAGTTAAGTTCACTGACTCACAAGCCAAATCTGTTTTCGTTCAAGCTCACTGACTCACAAGCCAAATCTGTTTTCTTTCAAGCTCACAGGCTCAGCGTTGCCCAAGCAAAGGAACGCGTCCTTGATCTTTTTGTTGAAATCCAGGAAGGATCTGTTTTTGACTTCACCTTTGAGACCCAGGAAGGTCACTCTACGAGGAGTTGATTGGCAGCGCTTGGGCCATTGTGGCTGCATCCTCTTCCAAAGACTGGGTGGCCTACCTTTTCTGAAACAACCTTTTCTGTCTTTGCGGCTTTCCAACCTCTTTTTTTGGATCACTTTGTTTCAGTCGGTTGCTCATCTTTTGGGCATGTGTACGCAAAAGGCACAAATATGCACAAATCAATACAAATCATCTTAATAACAAGCGCTGCAGCAAGCGCAACAATTCGAAGGAACAATGCAGGAGAAAGGTTTGATGCAAAAGCAAAACAAAACACTTTCTCTTACAAAGCCTCCCCTTCCCCCGCCCTGCCCTTCTGACTCTCCTCTCCTTACAATTCTGGCAAGCGGAAGCACTGGGGGAGATCTCCCTTCTCGGGGTCTTCAACGACCATAAAAAACTATATCCGAGGGAGTCCAAGACTATTTTTAGAATTGTCTTGGATAACCCGAAAAGTTTCCTTTACTCGGCTGGTGCCAAAAATTTTTTAGACTTGTAACGGTATATATCATAATTACGAAAGCCAGCCTTCGTAGAAGGCGCCAGCTGAGTTGTGCTTGGCGATCGAAGTGAGTAGTTAGGGGGTCTGGGGGGGGTGGCCCGCAAAAGGTACACGTAAACTCGGCACATGCTGGGGCAGGAGGGTGCATCGAGGGAAGGTTTTTTTGAGGTTGTGTTGGAGGTGATTTTTGAGGGGTGGTGATGCAAGAAATGCAATTTGCATCATTTGCATCATCTGAATGGAAAGGTGTAGTTGGCACCTTGGCAGGTATAGATACCCAGGGTAGCTATAGTGCAGCTACCAGGTATAGTACTTCAAGTTCCCTTTCCGTCAACCGCTCGATAACCTCTACACACGCACAGCAATCCACAGCTTTGAAGCCTCATGCGCGCGATACCTGGGAACAGAATTGTAGCTACCCTGGGTCCGTATAAATGCTATGTTGCTATACCTCTTACACACCTATACAAGTTCAAAGCACGAACGAGACTTCAA